AAGAAATGTAAACAACTTTGTGAGAAACTGCTGGCAACAAAAAGCCTAGAGATGGTTTTAGTCGAGTATCAGAGGCGGAAGAACTCTTCAGAAAGCCAGAGAGCAACAGATCAAGATCATTTTAGATGTTTACAGGAAGCTTGAAAGCAAATAGAAGCTGTTGCCCAGCCCTCGTTGATCCACTGGGACTAAACCGATCATATGAATCCAGTATTGCTGGCTTCCCGGCCTGCTTGGATCAAGAGGACCTTCTGATCCAGGGTTGATTCACCTCTGCTCCACAATGAGAGAAATTCCTTTTATCTCCTGAGTCTGTTGTCCCTTAAACACCAGAGACTTGAAAAATAAAACAGTTTAGAAACTGATGTATGAGTCTCAGAAGGCTCAGGATTAAAACCTTTTTAGACTTAAAAGCCAGTCAGTCTCATCAGGAGAGCCTCTGCTCTCAGTCTGACCTGCAGTTTCTCATTGTGCTGCATTTGAGGTATTTAAACCACAGCTGCTTATTGTGTTTTATCATAGACTAATAGAACTGAAGCCTCATATAAAAACTGCAGCCCTGAATCCAAGCTGTTATGCTTCACTTAGCCTCAGTCAGCTGATTGTCAGCTTCAGCTCTGTTTCCTCTCTGAAATAATTCGACTGCTCATTTCTGTCCTTCACCTCCAAAAATAGTAACAATGACTTCCTCTTCAGATGGAGCTGCAGCGCCACCTGCTGGCAGAGCTACTTTTAGCAGATACTCCACCTTCTTCTTGTAGTAGATCTTTATGACCAACTTCTGGCTTTGGCAGAAATGGACCCAACGAAAAAAAATTATAATATTATGCAAAAATCTGAAAATGACAGAAAATCTTCAAATGGAAAAAAGCAAAAAAATATGTTAAACTTTTTAGTCTGACGACTGCAGATGGTCTTTTGATGCAAAGCTGTTCATGAGCTACGGCAATCTGTTATCAAAGAGACTAATGTCTGGTAAACAAAGCCTTGTTCTTTTTGTTGAGGAAATCAGTTATCTAAAAAAGTGATCTAAAAACTGAAAATAGATATGTTAAAATAAACCAAAGGTTGCAGGTGGAAACTTAGTGAAAAAGTCTGGAAAAGCAAGACTTTCCAAGAGTTTATTGGTCACAAACTTAGCATAAAGTGGACCTCATTTTTTTTTCTTGTTTTTTTTTTTCTCCCAAGTTGAAGAATATTTTTAGCTGTCCAGCTTCCTGCTGTCTGAACACAACAACCAGTTTAAATATCCCCGGCGACTTAGAATATATTTATATCTAAAAGTCGCCTGCATAGCAGGTAAACCAGACCACTCTCAGAGTTTTCAGAATGCATTGAAGAAGGAGCTTTAATAGAGAAATAATACAGGCTGAAAGTAGAACCCTGAGGTACACCGTGAAGAACACCTGTAATTTGAAGCAGCCATAAAGAAAATGATATGAAGGAAAATATACCATTTAATGAACATTTAATATGCTATCACAGTTATTGATTAAAACTATAAAGTACAATGTTATAGAAAACTGAAAAACTGAAAAGAAATACAATTATTAAATAAAGTCATGTTTTTTTTTTATTTCTTTCTAATGTTTTGTTCATTAGTTGTTTAGAAATCTAAGTCGGTCCAAGCCATTCACTGCTGCCTGTCTGTTATCTGACTAATGACTTCCTGTTCTGTATCTGTTTATCTCCCAGCTGTAATACACTCATTGGTTGTTTTT